GCGCGGCCACCCGTACGGAAACGTAGACGCAGACGCCGCCGTCAGCAGCCGTGGAACCCGGTCTGGGACCGGCCACGGCGCGTGCGCCGTCTGCCCGCCGTAAGCACCGCCCCCAAAAATGACCCGGCGGGCTTGCGCGGCTGGGGCCTACGACGCATGCGCCGGCTGCGGTTTATTTTGAACCGCGGGCCTGGACACGTGGTTTGACGCAGAGGATGAAGCGCCTCTTTTTCTGCTTGGGTTACGGGTGCGAATGTTGTCTCGGCTCCTGACCTGTGGCTTGTGGCCAGCGCTTCACTCATACCTCTAGAAAGGCGGTTATAAGAATTACAAAGCATGTTTCCAGAAAAAGAGAGAGAGGTACGTGTACAAGTGTGCTGTACGAAATCAAGTGCTTGCAATTAACAGGGAACCCTAAAGAGAAAGTAACCTTGGGGAAGGGAGCTGGCTTGAGCGCCTCACATTTCAGCAGCTGCTCACGGTGGATGTTGTGGCCTCTCTTGGTCATCTGGCACGACTGTTAGCCTGTCAGAGATAGAGAGAGGGCCATTTACCCCGGTTCCCTTCTCCGCTTCACACACACACACACACACACACTTGTGCGCGGTGCTGTGTGTGCATAGTGGGCGTACGTGAATGTCTTGATTGTGTTAGTGAGTCAGTCATTTAATATTTGTCTTCAGACCAAAGTGGTAAGGAGCTGAGATTTTGAGCTTGGAGCATTTGAAGAACCGAAAGTGTCCACACACACACACACACAGGTTCAGAACAGAGGAAGGAAACTGAGCTTCCCCTGAACAAGGAGCAGCCCAGGATGGGTGTACCAAACAGCAGCCTCTGAGCTCAGGGATTGCTGCTCTGGGAGAGGGTGGATTTTCCGGGGGCCAGAGCAAGAAAGCCCTCTGGGAGTGGCAGTAACTGTGGAAAGGATCTTTGGGGCCTGGGTAAGGACATGTCTTCCTCATTTTGAAGCCTGAAGTTGGACAATAGGAAAGAGGGGTTGGGTAGTGTACATGTACTTGGTAATGCTCAGTAATACCACTGTATCTCTCCTATTAGCAGTGCCCGTCTACTTCAGCCTGGAGCCATCCCACATAAAAATGTAACTTGTTCTTTAAAAGGAATGAAGAATTCTAGTGATCTCTTGTGTCAAATATTGAAAATAGTAATGCATTGTTAGGATACTAGTTTTCATGCTTGAAAATGGAAACAGTTTCTCCCGGATATATGGTGGTTCCCCACTGTTTTGAGAAGGAGGCCATGTAGAGATGTGACCCAACAGTAAAGACTGTTCCTCAGCTCCACTTCGTACTCCCCTCTCCAGAGCCACGAGGACTGTCAAGCACTTCAGATAAAGAGGTCCAGGTGCTGCCTCTCAATTCATCGACCCATTGGGGACCACAGATTTCAGAGCCATCGGCTGTTCTAAGGTGGTTCCAAGTGATGGAGCTTTAAAAATATGCCCCCTGCAGCCTGGCATGAGCCCCTACCCACAACCGCCCTCATTTCTGTGAGGGCTGTGTTTAGGGACTCACAGATTCCTCAAGATGTTTTTTAAGACTTCCTGCTCTTAGCTGGCAAACTGTTAATCAGTTTGTGGCAGCATAAATAAAATTAGAGGGTTTAATTAAAACTAATGAATGAGTGAGTGGAGACCAGCCTGGCCATTTTACTCTCTGAGCCTCAGAGCAGTAAATAATGAAAATGTCACACGGCGCATGATATGTTTCAGCAAAAGAGAAGAGCCAGCAGAAACGAGGCCACAGGGAGCTCCTCCACCCCGGGTGCAATTTGCAAGTGGGTGGAATCCCCATTTTAGTATATCTTATTAACTAATTGCACAGGAACTGTTCCAGTTTTCTGACCCTTCCCAAGAAAAGGGAACAGGGGGAGAGTAGTACACAGGGTGTCCATTCCTGTGTATCCTTGGTGTACTTTGATGTCCTGGTCCTCAGGGAAGGGAGCAGGGGACGCAATGAGGAGGCTGCACTGTCGGGTGTTAGCGGGCAGGGGTCTGGAATTCTGACTTTCTCAATGTGTCGGATACAAAAGGAAGAAGCATCGTACATCCTACTTGACTTTCAGATGCTCTCCCAGATATTCACGTAGGTAACTGTTTATGACTGTTTGAGCCTAGACCTGAGCTCCATGTAAACGCTGAGTCCTTTTGGCACGGTTTGACTAAGGAATCTTCCAGACATGCAACTACCGTGTGAGCGAGATAAGCTGGGACTTTGTTGGGACCTTTCAAAAGTCCCATGCCCCATGCCAACCCTCCTCCCAGCATCCACCTGTATGATGTGAGACTTGCATCAGCCTCAGCCATAGCTTATCACTTTCAAGGTGAGTCCACACACAGATGCAAGGATCTTACAGTTCATTTTGTCCCAGAGTGGAGGCCTGCCCAAGCATTTACATGTTGAAATGAATATTATTTTGTTATGAACTACTTCCCTTTTATTTTATTCAGCCATGGCATTATACTGATTTTAAAAAAACTGCGTGCCATTGTGTAGGGAGTGTTAAGAAGTATTCGTTACAGAAATGAGTGCATTGGATCAGATGCATTTGAGGACTCCTGTTCATGCCAACGTGTTGAGCATGAAAATCGTTGAGAACTCAGTCCTGCTGACCCTTGATTTCAGCCTGTGATACTCCCAACAGTCATGCTGTCTTCCAGTCTGGCTATGCTGGGCTTTTGACCTACAGAGCTGGGAGCTGTTAAACAGTGCTGCTTTAAACTGCTAGGTTTGTGTGTAATCTGTTGTGCAGCAATGTGACATTAATACGGACAGGCACTCTTTTCCTGAGGACAACAGGGTTGGGTATTTGGAGGGTGATCTGAGGAGCAGCACCTGGGAGGAGCTGAAGCCAAGTCCTAACAGAGGGGAAAGTGCAGCCCAGGGGCCCAGACAGAACCCAGAGGCCGGGGAAGATGGATGGTCCAAGAAGAGGGGGAGAGTCAGCCTGGTGCCACCATATTGACAAGGTACAAATATCAGTGGTAAGTTCTCTTTAAAATGTTTTTTCGTGTGTGTGTGTGTGTGTGTAAAGACAGCACAGCCTTGTTATAGAAAATTCACTACTATAAGATAGTAATAAAACCCCCAGAAATCCTAACACTGACAATCATTGTCAACTTTGGTTTACATCCTTCATGGATCTATGCAAGATGGTGGTGAATCCCTCGACATAATAACTAATTTTAATGGAGGGCTTGTCGTGGCTGAGTGCGGTGCAGAATGTGTTACAAGTTGCAACTTATTTAATCCTTGCAACACTTCGGAGTACTTAAGGTTTCATATATACCTGGAAGTACTTATATTCTTATAAGTACAATTCTTATCACCATTTTACTGTCAATTTACTGAGGCCCAGAGAAACAGTACGACTTTCCTGGGGTCACGCTGCTGTAAGTACCGGAGCCTGGATGGGAGCTGAGGCAGTTGGACTCCGGAAGCTTGTGTTCTTAACTGTTACCTCTTTGCCGCTTTGTGTAGACGAATTTGACAATGAATGCGGTTTTACAAACTGCTTTTCTCAGTCAGGTCATGGGCCGTGTCTTAGGTTGCGTCCCAGAGCAAACAGGCACTAAAGCAGAGACTTGTGTGCAGAGATTTAAGGGGACTGAGGGAAGCAAGACTGGGCAGAGGGGAAAATTGGACCACAGTGTAATTTTTGACACAGGCCTTGACTCAGCCCGTGGGGAACTTTGGAACCGGGATAGCCCTCCAGATTGAAACAGGAGGATGCTGCATTTTTTCATTTCCCCTAGGATGCAATATTGGTTCTGATTTAGTGTCTTGTCTGGGGATGAGGAAGAGCAGTTCTAGAAACTCCTACGTGGCCTCCCCTACTGAGACAGCTCTTACCCCCACAGGCCAAAGGACTGCTGTGGGAATTCGATCAACTATCAAGTATGTACCTTCCAACTGCGCCTTTGGGGATGGGGAAAATAACCACAGGGTGGGTCTGTGCATCCTTCCACGAAAACTGTCCTTAGCTAACAGGAGCCACCTTGTTCAAAGTTACCTGCCCTCTAATGACTGATGGGTGTAGCGATCCAAAGAGCAGCCACCATGCACAGTTGAAAACAACCTAGCTCCAGCACGTGGAAAAGGTTAGTTTCTTGCCTTCCAGTTCAACTTTCTTTCTCTGCCCAGTCTTGCTTCTCCTGCTTCCATACTGTGCTCTTCTTGATAAACTTCTTCGACCCAAGAGTCTCTTCCTCAGGGATCATGACCTGGAACAGCTGGAGTCAGGAGTGGTTCAAGGAAGCAGACGCTGCGGTGGGGTTTTAGGGCTGTATCACCCACTGGCCGACAAATGAGGACCCCATAACTGGGGTAAGGGTCGGGTAGACAGCCCTTAGCATGCTGAAGCAGGGCAATTCTCAAAACTTACACCAGTCATGCACCAAAAAGGGACAGCAGTAAAACAGTATTACAGGTGCAATGTCTCAGGCTTCTGAGAAGTTCAAGAGAGGTATTGACCATAAAAACAATGAAATTGACTGGCCTTTACTATTGATGCCCAGTGAAAGAAAGGCAAAGAAAGGCTGAAGGTGATAAATAATCGATTAAAGGCATAGTGTGAAAGTTAGAGCCTTCTTAGCGACGTAGATTCTCATCTCTTGCAGCAAGAGCTGAAATCAAGCCCAGGAGTTAACTATAAAAGTAGTAGAACTCCAAGCAAGGTTGAATTCTCCTCCCCAGCAAGTCTCCTATGCCATGGTCAGAGCTAGGGATGAGAAGGAGTGGGACCCTTAGGGATGGAGACATCTGGGTTGATGCATTTGAGAACTCTGAGACCATGTCCCTCTGCACGCTCTGAGTCTTCAGAAGTATTCACCTCCTTATTAGAGTCCAGGACCTTCCCCCACCTTGCTTAAAGACAGGGTAGGTCTGTGCTTTACAAGACAACACACACCTCCTCAGGATCTCCCTGTTACCTCCTCTACTAATCACCAGACTAATGACCGGGGTCAAGTCACAGTATAACCTGGCCAGATGAGTGCTAAGCCAACTAAAACTCAAAATTTGTCTCTTGTCGGTTCAGGCTGCAATAACAAAACCATTGACTAGGTGGCTTAATGGAATAGAAATTTATTTCTC